CCCCGTTTCTCGCTGGGGTGGCCACGCTGCCGTCGGGGCTCACACGGGTGCTGCAGCACCTTGTGCTGAGTCACACTGTGTAGATGCACCACCCTTCTCTGAGCCAGCTCAGATCCAATGCACAGTATCTGTACAGCTTCCAAGGAAAGTTTGAGTTGTCATTTTCTGTCTAAACTTGGTGGAGCCCCACTGCTTGCACCGTGCCCAGGTGATTTTTCAGATGCAAGAGGTTTGTGTAAAAGAAATGCTTTATTTTTGCACATGAAGGATGCTCACTAAAAAGTGTTTCTTTTCCAGAACCTGTTTTAGAAATAATCAGAAGTGCACCTAAATCTGTTTAGTGCCAGGTTATTCGGTGGTGCAAAAAACATGGTATTGCCATTTTGTAACCTGGCAATTTTTGATAAAGAAGATTTTAAAAGGGCTTTAATATTTATAGCTTAGACATGACCAGTATTTCCTGGTATTTGTGATGTGGTCTGCACCAAACATGATTTATAAAAAAAGTCAGAGATCCCCCGGGGAAACGACTGTACTTTAAACTGTTGTTCTAAATCTGGTTTAGTTACATGTTGAAAGATAATTTTGTATTCTCCTTTGAACTGACCAAAACATTTTTTTATTGCTTAGACTTTTATTTTGCTGAAAACAAAACAAGTATCTTCTTTTACAAAGGGGCATCAGTGTTGTGAACACAGAACTGATGTTAAAGCTGCTTTTGTATTCAGTGTGAGATGGTGTTTACAGATGATTTTGACAACAGTGGAAATATATTAAATGGTGTCTGTGTATCTGAACTATTTAATTTTGTGTTATGTTCATATGAAGAAATATTTATACATACTTCACCAAATGTTTTATTTAATGTTGATAAATATTGCTCTTCAGTCTTCAGCTGTAGTGTCCTTTTAAAGTGATTCATAAGGGTCTGCTTGAGAAATGAATGGAGTATACCCAGCTTTTTTGTCACTAAAACAAATACTCTTAACATACAAATCTTTCTTTTGTATCAGTTGTTTAAAATGTCTACCTAAAGGTAATCTTGTAAATTATATTGCAAGTCTACTGCAAGTACAAGTTTAGTATAAAGCACGAAAAATGGTTAAAGCTTCATCTATAAGTCACAAGTGCATTTTCAGCTAAAGATACCCAGAACTGGTTTACTGGTTTGGTAGCCACATACAGCCAAAGTCTTATAAGGCACCCATGTTGCAAAGAAAAAGAATTACTTTTATTTATAGAAATAAACATATTTTTAAAATATATTCATTACTCAAGTTGACCTAGCTTTTAACATTTAAATATATTATCTATATATATTGCCATATTATTACCTTCTGATATCTAGAGTAGTGCTGTGCCCCTAATACACAAAATGTGAGAGCATGTAAGGAAGGCAGAGTTTGTCAGGGGGATTTACGATATATTAGTATTGGTTTTGCAGTAGGAAACAATTTTTTTTTTGAAGTTAAGCTTCCTTGAAAACAACTATCACCACTGTTTACATAATAGTAAGAGTTAAACCCTTGGATTGTTTTAACAGAGAAATAAACAACCTGTGTTTTGATGTGTGAACAGGCTTTAAAATGTTATTTACAAGCATCATAAAATGTGTATGCATACACATATTGTAGCATAGGTCAATTCAGTTATTTATTTAATGGAATATGCACTATAAAATATTAAGAATTTGGCTGTGTTACAAGTACAGTGGGGATCAAATTAATTTGTATTTTATACAACTATGTGTTTGCTTTAAACCCATGCACACACAAAAATTTTAGCTTTATGCACAAGTGGATATATTGTTTATGAACACAGGCGCACATGATAGGTTGCAGAAGAACAATACAAGACCAAAAGGTACAATCTGACACAGCACTACTTTTAAGAAGTACAAAAGATGTAATATTTCATCTATTTTGAGGAAAACTAAGTCAGAAATGTGAAAGCATCATTCTGAGGGCAGACAAAGAGCTGAGTCCCATTAACACTCCTCACATGGAAAGCTGGCTTTTCAGAGACCAGGCATCATCCCCATTAATTACAATAATACATGATTAAACTCCATATGAAGAGGAGCAAAAAATCAGAAGCAATAGCCAGACAGGAGCCATCGGCTGTTTGGAGAAAGCTTTGTAGAATAGACCCCAATCACTGTCAGCCTCTGAACAGCTCTAAGACAACAAAATGCATTGTAATACATTCTTGATTTTCTTGATATAAAATTGTGGTAGAATTCTATTGCTTCTGTACCAGTATAGGCTTATAAAAGACCCAAGGACAGGTGTCATGGTGCACGAAGCACTTTATCCTACTCCTGCATAACACATTCCCTACACATATAAACTGCATTGAACTGTGTGGCACAGCTCTAAAGCTAAGCAAATATAGGCAAGGCCTGGTAGTTGCCAGGTTCTAACCCCATGGATCTGTATGTCCTGAACAATAAATGACCTAAAGAAATCTGGCAGTTTTGTGAGGATACCCACACAGATGCTCTGAGGCAGTTGGTGACTTTTCTTGATTATGTACAACTTCACTTGCCTATTTTGTTGGCTTGATTATTATATTTCCTTACTACTTCTGCTAGAATACTCTAAAAGAGTCCTGGCTCATTATCAACCTTGTATATATAAGATGTGAATACAAGTTCTAAAGTACACTCAGTTTGCCTCTACAGAATGCAAACATAAAAACAAAGTAAAAAAAAATTATCTTTTTTTCTTGATCAGCAACATCAGTAATTTTGAATATGGAGCTATCATCATGCTACCATGTATATGGTAGGGATAGTCATGGAGTATCGTACTAAGCTATTTATAAACTGCGTTTTGCTTGCCCTCTTGACCATCTATATCCCTATTCAAATTGATATTTGAGATTCTAAACCCTCTTTCTCCTCCAAATGGCTCCCAGAGCATTTTCATAAAAATGTGCTTTACAAGCTTGTCTTGAGATCAGGCTTTTTCTTTCCTTTCATAATATTCCTGTGCAAACTTAATCTACCCTTGGACTATCAGAAGGCACATTACTAGCTCCAGAAGTTGTAGTGTTGAGGTCTGATTCTTTTCTGAAGATAAATAAGGCTTACCAAAAAGAAGTGGAGCAGGACATTTCACAGAAGTGGTCTGTACCACAAGAAGTGGTCTGTTCACCAAGCCTGACCTCCTTTGTGGCATCTGGGCATGATACACCCCTAAGGACCTTCTGCCAACCCCCTACTAGCTTAAACTTCATCCAGTTTATAAATCATCATGTGTTTTAATGCATTTGAAAATATCTGATACATATTCATTGTGGTAACTGAATATTCTTTGACCCATATAAAACTACTGTCCCTTTTCACAATTTGCTTCCCGCTTCTGTGATTTTCTGGTTTATGCATTCCTTTTATGTGTGTACCCACGCAAATGCCACTGCACTTGGTTCTGAGAGCAGGTGAAAGTGATACATATTTGTAGAATGCTTCTTGTTAACCCAAAGGATAGCTGCAGATGTCTGGTGGAGACAAAGTGTTCATGATGGTGGCTGGCAGGCTTTTCTGTCTTATGTACTGGACTCCCATGAGACCCAAACACTTCTATTGGAAGCTTGGCTAAACCATGTATGACATTCAGGTTTTCATAGAATTAAAAACTTTATTTAATGAAGATTTTTTTTTTTTTCTTGTATCAGGCATAGATCATTTGTAGATTCTGCATTTTTCTACTTCTAGGAGCTGCCTAGAAGTACTTGGGCAATTTTGTACTTCAGCTTTTAAATTGATGTTACTGACAGGTCTTCAGAATCTCAATTAGCAAATTCATTAACTGGTACTTTTTCATCACCCACATTGTACATTCGAAATATAACATAGATTGTAATTTTTTTTTTTCAAGAAAGATTGTTGTAGTTATTTCCAGATACCT